GTTTAGGGCACTATTCCTACTTCATCCAGCAGTGGATAGATCATGGGTGATGATGGTAAATTTCAGTATTTTGCAACCTCATAAGCACCGATTTTCCTCTGATCAAGTGCATTGCATTTGCTTTTGTTTTTCCAAACGGTTGCATGATACTGAGCCAATGAAACCCATGATAACCCATGTTTAGTGTATAACAGAATAGGGGTAGGGGCCCTATGCCAGCCCTTCCCAACTCACCCGGTTGATTTGGCCCATGGAGTCAAACAGGGGATATAGGCCTTTGCATTCAAAGAAATAACCTAGCATTTCAGAATAAATTCAGTGAACATGAGAAAATATGGGAACAAGAACATATCAAGAAACTAAAAAACTAAACTAATTTTTATTTTAACAGGTAAGGCCCACGAAGCTATTTTCAGTAGCGACCTGGCTACAAATGCAAGCTCAAAGTGGCTTATCATCATGTGTAAATATATAGCAGCCAAATACTCTCAACGCGTGTTTCTAAATGTGGAGGGAAAACCCGGAGGGCCCGGAGACCACGGGGAGAACATGCCAACTCTAAATATACTGTACAGGCGTCAGGGTAGCCAAACATGTCTATGATATCACAATTATAAAAAGTCAGCCAATTTGGATTGACCATGTGACCCCCATCCAACTAGAGGGGAGGGCATATTGTTTCTGTAACAAATTTCAAATCGGGTATGAGCAGAGTTGTGTGTTGCAGTGATAAGTAACTTTATTGAATACGTGTTGTGTGCTATGTTAAATGGAACGACACGAACAACAAGAACATTGCATGAACATTGCACTGCTTCACATCGTCTGTATTATGTCATGAGATGGAGTATCCATTCAAAGCTCTCACAGGGTAGAGCAGCCAAAGAAAGCAAATATCACAGCGCCACCTCTGAGATCCCTTAATTCGACCTCTGTTCCACACAGTAGGGGTAGCACTTTCGCAAATAATCTTAACACTTTTTTAACGTTTGTGGCATGACTGCAAATGATATATCTAGATCAAAATCAAATTTATTTAGACTTGTGTGTGTGCAGTCATTGGGCTAAGACCATCACTTACACTTGAGATTTGGCCACCCAGCCACTATAAGTTCTTGGACCAACTGAATGGCTTTGTAGTGTTCTTTCGCGAATCCATTTTAGTAGATGGACACGGAACTGTGGCTGTTTGTAAATGGATTAAAATCAGCTATTGGCCCTGATGGAAAATCTTGTGTTATGGAACACCTGGTAGTGGGCGTTTAAAGTTTTGAAGGGCAGCTATATCGCACAGCCCATTCAAATACTGTACTGCAGTGCAATTACGAATGCACGCATGACCGCAAACACTATACTGCCATTGCATTAAATCATTATGGTTATTTACGTTGTAAATGTTCGTGAAAGGGAGCCTTTGAAAATATTTGCACGAACCCCACAGAAGATAAGCCCATTTTTGCATACTTGATTTGTTAAGTTGAGGCTGTCATGTGCATTAAGAACAGGTGGCTCCTACACAAATTAACATCCAGCTAATTGTAGCTGACTCAAGACAAAAACGTGCCATCTTTAAACACAAGTTATACATTCTGAGACCTCCTTTACCAGTGGCAAAATATAGTAGTAGGTTTTTACCCTTTAAACTGGTACAAAACTAATACCTTTATACAAGGCATCATGTTTGCAATAACCGCAACACAAGCAGTCAAAATGCAAACAAAAAAAAGCAACTCTGATAATGGTAAAAAAAATGCTAACAAAAAGAAGCAACTCTGTTTGCATTTTGACTGCTTGTGTTGCGGTTATTGCAAACATGATGCCTTGTATAAAGGTGTCAGTTTTGTACCAGTTTAAAGGGTAAAAACCTACTACTAAGTTATACATTATTTATGAGCTTGGTTTCACAGAAATGTGTGGCCCTGCCCATGCCACTGCTGGCGGAAGGACCTCCGCTAGAGGGAGCTCTAAAGAGCCCATCTAGAGGGTAATTGGCCTACTCTTCCAAAATTGGAAGAAGTTGGAGTACCCACACTTTGCTCAACCACACGCGACCTGTTAATACATATACTGTGGTGTACCCATTTATGCTGATGGGGTGGACAGAGAGGGCGTTTAATAAAGTTGCAAAATAGTTTCAACATTTGCGCTGCGAATTTCAACCTCTGGATTGCAATTCCAGGATGTGAACCATTCCACCAGAGCATCATAGTTGACAGCTGTGGTTCACTGCACAACATTAATTTAATGTAGGCCTGACCTGCAAAGCAGGTAATTATGTAGATATGTATGTTGAACTTCTTTTACATCGTACGTAGTCAATCATGCTAATCGGAGGTGCGGGGGAAAGCCAACAAACTAAACACAAAAAGCAGTTCTAAATAAGTTAGTTTTCAATCTAGAATTCCCAATATCAGAAGAGCGTTCCAGACGGTCGCAGAACCGCATCTGAAAGCGGCGGATGGAGTGACCGTCTTTGTTCGATAGTTAGCCAAAATCCGCTGTGGGGATGACCTAAGTTTTCGTGATGGTTTTGTGGCTCATTTGTGGCAAGCACTTTGTGTCTAATGAGTCCGACCTTATAATATGGTGCGACCTTACGAGAAGTGTTCAAATTAAGACAATGCATGGTTATGTGTGATAACACTGGCCAATGCAAAGGAGCAATAGCAGTATTAACACGATAGACGTAATCCATTTCATTCGCAGTGTACAACTGGGACTATAATTATGGAACATGCATCAGCACAAAAACTGCCTTATTCCTAGGTTTCATAATATCAAATTGCAGGACCGCTTATTCAGTGTCATTAATGTCTCTGAACACGGCACATTATGGGCAAACATTTTAAAGACGCTGCTAATATGTGTTGCCAATGTCTCCACATGCAGCAATGGATGATCAATGGGATGCAGCCTGTGTTGGTACGGGCATATTTGGTGATGTGATTAGGCACTGAGGCTTTATGATGAAGATTTGGTGACGTGGTGTTTGTGATTCTGATGAACCATTGAATACTTAAGTTTTGTCATGATGCTTGGTGATGATTTAGCGATGCGGTTTTGGGATTAACTTTGGTGGTAAAGATTTAGTGACAAAGATTTGGTGGCAAATATTTGGTAAATATCTTTTATAAGGTTTGGTGATAAATACTCTTAGGTTGTTTCGGTAAAGTCACGTAGGTGAAATAAGAAAAATAAATAAATAAATAATGCTTAATGAAAATAACTCAATTGAAAATAACTCAATTGAGTTATTTTCATTATTTATAAAAAAAAATTATTAATATTTTTTACCTACGTGACTTTACCGAAAAAACTAAGAGTATGAATCCTTGCAGTCACGAAAGCTTCAAATCTAGAATTTGGTGATAAATATTTGATGAGATTTCATGATGTGATTTTATGGTGATATTTGTTTTTTTACGTTTGGTGATTTGGTATGTTGATTCGATTTATTTTTGAGGTTTGGTGCTCAGATTCGATGATGAAATTTGGCGATAACATTTTAAATTTGTGATTAAGATGATGAAAATTCAGTGCTGGTGCTGAGATTTAGCGATGAGGTTTGATGACGATTATGCATTGAGAAAAACAAAACATAGATCAGTTTGTGTGTGACCTTGACAAAAAAAAACAACATATGAGAGGTTAGACCTTTGAGGGAGGTGGGTGGGTGGGGGGGGGGGTGTGGCTCTGGAGTTGACGCCAATAAGCCAATAAATTAATACACTTCAGACATAACGTTGACGAGTTTGACGATGGCAATGAAAATATGCACAAAGGTGGCGGTGTTTGTCAGCGGTTGCCATGACAACCGGGCTGATGGCGACGACGACGACGGCGTTAATCGCGCGACCAGAAACTCTGGCGTGACGTCATTCCCCCCGCCGCAGCCACCCACGGAAGCCCCTCCCCTCCTCCGCTACCCCTTCCCCCTCCTCTTCCCCCCTCCCCCATGCGCTACCCCTCCCCCCTCCTCTTCCCCCCTTCCCCCTCCACTTCCCCCCTCCCCCATGCGCTGCCCCTCCCCCCTCCTCTTCCCCCCTCCCCTCCTGCGTTGCCCCTCCCCGCGCTTGAACCCAATTCTCCCGCCCAAACGAACCCATTCGACCCCCTCCTCTGGCCCGCCCCTTCACGCCCCCCCCCCACATATCTCCCCGCCCCTAACCCCTCCCCCCCCCTCGTCGTCGTTAGGACGTGACGTCACGCGGGCCACGCCTACTCCGGGATAGCGGTGACGTCACGTGGGAGCCAGCGTGCCCTCTCGCTGCCCCTCCCTGACCGCGTTCGATTCCCGCCAAATTCGCCTCTTTTTTGTTGTTGTTTGTAAACTTAAGTGCAAGCGGTGCGTCCTCTAGGTGTGCTCAGCCCGAAATATTTTTGAGGGGGGCGGGGTTGGGTCACAGTAACCGTGTCATCTCGCGCGCGACAGCGTCGGCTAAATACGTTTGCTTTAATACTAATCACCGTCATTATTATTTGGTCAACCTGCGACGAATCCACTGTTTAGATGAAGGTTAACGTCACCCGTCGCCTCAATGGTCGCTCGCAAACACGTCTCATTGTCCCGCCAAGTCTATTGACGCGAGAAGGCGGTGGGGGTGGTGGGGGGGGGTGAGCAAGGGGGAGGGGTGGTGGGGGGGGGTGAGCAAGGGGGAGGGGTGGTGGGGGGATGTGAGCAAGGGGGAGGGGTGGGGGGGTGAGCAAGGGGGAGGGGTGGTGGGGGGGGTGAGCAAGGGGGAGGGGTGGTGGGGGGGGGTGAGCATGGGGGAGGGTGGGGGGGGTGAGCAAGGGGGGGGGGTGGTGGTGGGGGGTGTCTCCAGCCCCTCCCCCAAATGCCCCGTCCACCGCGACCTCCCCCGCTGAGCCCCGCCCCTCGCAATAAACCTTCCCGCCCCCGTAGTAGCCCCGCCCATCCCAGCTGACCACGCCCTCTTTAGCCCCCACAGCCCCGCCCCCCTCCAGCCCCGCCCCTACCCCCCCCCCGGTAAACAAGAGCAGCCCCGTGGTCGGGCGGACGTAGCGAGAAGAACCTCGTAGGGGGGAGAAAAAGATCCGAGGCGAATAATGTTGTTGTACTTGCTAGACGTATTATATTAGTTTTTTTTATCTCGTATTCTTTAACACCAGGGCTATTTGCCGTAGGCGAAGACCACCGTGGCAATATTGGCCCGATTCTAGTCTTTGGAAGGGGGTGAAAAAAACATTTAAACCACTGTTAAAAAAGTGCGAGAGAGTGTTGAAGGCATACATACAGTGCGCGTGTCTGCGCGATTGGTTAAGGGTTGGGGAGTTGACAAAGACGACGACGACGACTACTACGACGAAGGTGGTGGTAGCCGTAGGAGTTGGCGGCCAGTGGTGGTTGTGTAGGTAGGGAATCCGGTGACGGGTGAGTGGACGGTGACAATTCGGCATCGCGATCGGTCGGTGGCAGATCGTAGTTACATCGTCAGCAATGGTGGTGGTGGTGGCATCAGTCGTCGTTCTGGGTATGGGTTAACCTTCGACAGCTGACAAGTCGACCCACAGTAGCTGTGGCTCGTAGTTGTAGGGGGTGGTGGGTGTGTGTGAGAGCTTATTAACTACTGCGACTAAACCAAACTGCACCATCGAGCATCGCGACGTGCTAGTTGAGTTGGTGGCCAAAGTGAGTTGCGAATCGGTGAGCGAGCAGTGATTGTTGTGTGGGCTACACAGGTGTCGTCGTCGTCTTGTCGAGGTGATTGAAGCGAGTGGCGTGTGGGTTCGTTCCCTCCATCATCATCATCCTCCTCCCACGGGGCCCCCCCCCACACCACCCCGGGTCGAGGGTCGGGGCGCCCTGCGGCCTAGCGCGGGCTCCACTGGTGGCGAGGCTGCGCAGGAGGGAAATCACGAAGAGGACGACGAGATTGACGAGAGAGACGAGAGAGACTGACTGTGGTGTGTGTGTGTGTTGGGGGGAGACGTGGACTGCAGTGGGTGGTGGGGTGGGTGGGAAGTCGTCCAGCCGGCGGCCCGAACGCGTCGCTGAAGTTGTTGGTTAAGCGCCGCTTAAGTTGTTAGTCGGCGCTGCGCTTTGCGTGGCGAGTGAAGTCGATGATAATATACGTCTCGTAAACTATAGCCCTCCTACACTAACTAACTAACTTCGACTACACGACCCCCAACGGGTTGTCGGGAAGAAGAGGAGGAGGAGGAGAAATATATCCCGAGAGAAGCGTGAATTGGTTGAGGTGGTTAAAAAGGTGTCAGTTTTGTTGCCAGATAAAAGGGTAAAAAAAAACAATTATATTTTGTTACTGGCAAATGAGGTTCCAATGGTGGTTGAGGTGACTCGAAGGGAAACAAGGCGGGGGTGAAGAGGAGGCAAAGTGATCGCGGATGAAGTGAAGAAACGAGAAGAGGTTAACAGGTGGGGAAGGACGGCAGAGGAGGATAAAGAGACGTGAAAGCATCGGAGGAAATTAGAAATGGACTAAAGAAGAGGTCGCAATTCTTCAGGTGAAGGAAGAGGTGGTACTGGAGCTGTTCACGGCACCAGGAGGTGGAGGAGGACCGAGGAGGGGAGGCTTCGATTCCATTTCTACCACCGGGACGAAGATTGACGATCGACGGACAAGAGGTGCGAGAGTGAAGCGGACGCGTTCCCTGCCCCACATCTGATCCACATCTGACCCATATATCCCAGCTTCCCCTCCCCACCTTCCTCTGCCCTTCCCAACTCTCCTGCCCCCTTCAAGCTAAGCACACCGCCTCGTCTCCTTCCCTTGCCTTGTTTGTGTTTGTTTGTTTGCTTGAACCGCCTACCCTGCCCATCCCCAACTCGTTTGCTCTACCCTGTTTATATCGAGCTCTGTCTGACACTACTGCCTCAATTACCACTGTCATCTCAAAGCTCACTTGGCCTTGCCCATATCAGATCGCTTTACCCTTGCCATTAACATGCCCGCCTTTCTGTCGAATCTTGCCCTCATGTCTGCCATGCCCTATTAACAGTATTCGAATACCCTATTACCAGTCATTCCCATCCCAAATAGCTTGCCCTGCCTTCCCTGCCTCGCAGCTCTCCCTGCCATGTCACGACCCCCCTTCCTTGCCTCGCTCTCAGCCCTGCTGTCACATCGCTGCACGCCTCTTCACCAGACTGTCTTCTTCCCTTCCCAGCAGCCCTCAATGTCATAGCCCTCCAGCATTTTTCATTCCGGCCAGTCTACTCCATGCCCTTTAACGCGTTTCCAAATGCGTCTAGTTTTCCTTTTGCACTGCTTGCCTCCTGGCCCTCCCTTTGGCCATGCCCTGCCAGAGGGGGGGCATGCCCCCCCCGGGATGGTCATGCCCCCTCCGTGGTGGCCATGCCCCCTCCGTGGTGGCCATGCCCCCCCCCGGGATGGCCATGCCCCCCCCCGGGATGGCCATGTCCCCCCCCGTGGTGGCCATGCCCGAGCCGAGGGGGCATGCCCCGCCGGGGTGTGGTGGCTTGGAACGGGTTAACTGCGCCAGCGACGGCCGCGTGAGTTTGGTGGCGCTGTAATTGGGTTAGTCGGCGGGACGTAAATAAACGCAGACTTTGGTACTGTAAGAGCGCGACGCCGCCGCCCCTGCGATGAGCGTGTGCGCTGCACCGAGCTGTGCTTACAGTGCAGGGCACGTGGTGTGTACTGACGCACGTGTACGTCGCTGTGCGGTGTGTACTGCACGCGTGAACAGTGTAACGGCGTATCGACTTGTAATGTTATACTGTGCCGTGAACGCACCGTGGAGTTGCGATGAACTGCCGTGTTTAAATACATTACCGTAATGTGTCATGCAAAGTGCCACGCATTTTAGACGTGTGTGCCGTCCGTGTTGTGTTTACGTGCTGTGCGGTGATGTACTGTAAAGCAAATATGCTAAAGACGCAAGATGCAATGTCGAATGTGTTAAGTTAAGCACATTTACTAACCAGTGTATGTTGGATATTAGGTTTGTGTTAGGGGTAGGGGTAGGCATGGATTCGTTTCGAGTCGTCTTGCTACTCTATAACGAGTTAAAAAAAACGCCGTGACCTAGTTACGTTTCCTTGAATGTTGTCATCTTCTGGGTGTTAACACACCGTAGCACCGCATGCGCCTTCTGCTCTCGCGGTGTTGTATGTCGACCACGGAATATAACACGAGTTAGAATGACTGATATTTTGCAAAAATACTAAAGCGTGTGGCATTTCTGTGTGTTGTTTTTGTAAGATTTGGAAAGTGTCGGTGCCTCCATGATCGGATTCCCAGCGATCCGGAAAGATAATGGGGACTGAGGGCTCTGTGCAGCAGCAACAACAGTATCCGGAGCCTCTAACCCAAAAGCAGTCCGAGTTGGTGAAGAGAGAAGATAAATTGCTGACGTGGGACACGAGGCCACTTTCCAACATGGATTTCCCCGAGGACCAGGGCTCGCCAGGGAGACCAGGCCAACAAAAGTCCGACGGTGGCACTGGGTCTTCGTGGGCTGAACTGGTTCAGGACAGCGAGGTGTCCTCCCTCTGCATCCTGGATGACGAAACCTCGGTGCCCGAGGAGCTCTTCAAGACGGTGGCCGAGTCCATGGGGCTGTACATGGCCGATGGTGGGAACTTCGACCTGCTCGGCGACGGCTCTTCTCAGGACGTTGACGCAGCTATTTTTCAGGGTGAGATATTGGCACAGCCGAGGGGTGAGAGCAAGCACGGCTTGTGTGTAGTCGAAAAAACATATTTTTATTTATTTATACAGCGATATTGGATTTTGATTTATAATGTGACGTTTTTGACTAGTTTGGAAAATAACTTGCCGTGAGTTATTGACTCAGAAATTATGGATAAATGCTGTAAATGAAAAGTCCTGACAAATTATAGTTTGACATTGTTGTGATTGGCACACTGGCGGTATCACTTCCTAAAATGGTGATGCGATAAATAGAATGTACAGAGTACCGTACTGTAGTTTAATCACCGCAGGTCAGGTAGACCTATCTTGCCACTGTTTACAGTTTGGAGCTGTGCAGAGGAAGATGGAGTGTGTGAGTCATGCTTGCATACTTGGCTTGGCAGCGGCAATGAAACAGGAAGAGTATTGCTAGTAATCGCGTAGATTCGGCAAGTCAATAATATTGATGTTTTGTTAAATATGTATACACAAATGAAATAAGTGTGCCACTTGCTTGGTTGCAGAATTGGGGCTGGTAATAAAATGCAAAGACATATGCCAAGATATTGGAAGATGCATGCATTATTGATTTCCTGTGGGGCTTTTAAAAATGGAGGCATTACGATTTATTCATGAACCAAATTTGATTTTACATTACATCTTTCTCTTCAAGGGTATGGTGTAGTTTATATACATCTGCATGCACAGTAAATGTTATGTATATGATAATGGTGTATTTTTCTTTAATTACCAATAACACAGAATCTCATGAGTAGTAACCCTGGAGATTCCATGACCTGACCTTGTGAAAATGAAAAGCACGCAAGTTCGATTAAATGTGCTGCTTGCTGTATTCCTAATTAACACATTATAAAATGTACGAACTAAAGCGAATGTTTTTGTATGTCATTATACGGTTTTCTTTTTAGGTGAGGACTTGCGCTCTTCACCCTCAAACCTTTCTCACGTTGGTCCACGGGTTAGCCCGTTCCCAAGTGTCAAGCCTGGCGACGACTCTGCTGGTGCTCAAGAGAGCATGGCAAGCCCTGTTTCGACAGCTCTCGGATCAAAGCCACAGCAACAACAACAGAAGCAGCAGCAGCAACAGCAGCAGCAGTCTCAGCAGCTTCATCAGCAGTCAGCAAATATTTCTGTGAAACAGGAGAAACAGCAGCCGCAGCAACGTTCAGAAACACATGTTTTGATGAAACCAGAAGCTGACGTTGGAGCAGATTGTAGCCACTTCTCTCATGGAAACATGCAGCCAAACAGGCCAATTAAGGTGGAGCCCCAGTCGTTCGAGAGTCCGTCAGCATATGGGGGACCTCAGCTGATGGGTTTTGATTCGAATTTACACACATACGGGGACATGGACTCCAGTGCGAGGCACACAGAAAGGGGGTCATTTCCGGGTCCGTCCAGGGGTGACACCGCTGCGAGCCGTGCCAACGTCAAAGAGGAAGACTCTGGTTGTGATTTACACATCTGCACGCCGGGCGTGCTTAAGAGAGAGTTGGATGAACTCAGTTACTGCGCCATGAGTATGAGCACATCCGTGGCAGCGGGCTCCCCATTCGGGGAAGGGGTGGAGTTTCAGTTGCCCTACTCTGCATCTGCCACATCCTTTCGTCCGTCCGTTGCCACCTCGTCCGCCTCGGGCATCTCCAACTTTTCAAATGGGAATAATTTTGGATTCCTTTCTCCCAATGGAGTACAACAGGATGGATTTCCTTACCCTGGTTTCACTAGGTAAGTGTTTGTGTCACGTGTGCAATTTTATGTTGTGAAATAACTTTTTTTGCGCAAGGCAAAAAAATAAAATGTGCCGATGCGCAGAATTTTGCAGGATTTAATCTCGTGCAGAAATAGAAGATGGGTACAGATCTTTCAAAATCAATGGGCCCTATAAAATGATTTCCCTGGGTACAGGTATGAAAGAAAACAAGTTTAGCCCCCTTATTGCCCATAATCAAGTTTTTTTTCCCCCCCACCCCCAATGTCAGTTGATTTGATTCATGCTGTCAGCTTTCCCGTTTCAGTGTTTAAGATGTTAGCCATGACCGCATGTTGTGAGTGCCTCACATCTCCGTGATGTGCTCGAGCAGTGGCAAATACGCGTCTCAACAGTTGCCATTTGCAGCATCTACAGATGCAATCATTTATTTATATTAACAGCCCGGATTCCAAAAAAAAAACCGAAGTGCACAGGATGACTCGAATGTAGAATTTTACAATGGATAAAAATATAAACCTCGACCATCGGTGAACATAGAACATGGGCCAGCAACAGAAACCGGCTGTAAGCTTCAAACTGGAATGATAGCATTTCACTCGCATGCGGCAAATCATTTATAGTGTATATATTAAATAAATGATTGAGCTTGACCTGCATCACCGGCTGCTGGGTAGCATGTGGTATGAGGTGGGGCTGCACATTTGCATACACTCTGCTGCACTATTTGCATTGTACTGCAAACACATGTTTTTAGCCAAGTGGCATTTCGGTGGCATTGCCACCCTACTTTGGCCACATTTTTGGCGAATTGTGCTTGGCGTCGAGTGATTCCTCCTGGTGTGTGACGTACGGTATCAGTCGTGACTATTGTCGCCAAAGGCCAGGGAAGTAAAGAAATTTGCTGCTGCTGCTGCTCTTTGGCATTGAAGTCGTTTATTGTAGATGTATACAGTACGTCATTTACACGTGAGATATTAAATGTGGTTTTCATCCATTTCGCTGTCATTACTGTTGGACAGGTAGCAATTTGACTTAAAAGTAGTTAAAGCTGTCTGGTTCGAAGTGGATCAAGTTAAAAATGCTAATCACGTTGTTAGAAGTATGTCATCCGATAGCCGTTTAAGTTTTTTCGTTAATTGTGTGATTGCTGGCTTAAATGGCTTGTGAGGCAGATGAGTATGAAATGCCTCATTAAGATATGATTGTTTTAAAACTTTACTCATGGGAATATATTAGGAAATTGTATTATTAGAAATTGGAACGTGATACAATGCAAGTTATAATCGCTGGATTTACATTTGTGTGGAAACCATTTTGCTAATTTTCTATTCAAATTGTCCAGATGTCATTTTATATCTCCAAATTATGAAAATCTTTTTCATAGAAATTGGAAAAACAAATCCTAGATTCTTTGAAATGTAATTTCCTTGGCAAAGTGGTTATCTCTATCACAAGCTGTACATGAGCAGTGACGAAATCTTTTACCAATTTGAAATCGATAAGAACAAAGCTGTTCTTCATATAAAAATATGTTTATGAACCCCCATTGCTGGTCGTAGGCTGACAGCGTTAACCAAGCCTCCTTTGGCTGAGTAATGCAACGCAGGGGTTGACTACAATGGAGTTTGGTTATGGCCTTGTGCATGTCCTTGGTGCCAAAAAAATAATTTAGCCTCAGAATATATTTTGTTTTGGAACCCTAGACGAAGGGATTGGCCAGATTGAGAAGACTGGCTTTGGATTGCAGGGACATTAACAAGGATAAAGCTTGATTTTGCAATATCATCCAAGCAGTGCCGATCTGTGACTATAGCTCCAGCCTTGATAGTAAATAATAGGTATCAAGTTAGTGCTTTGAACGGTGAATTTATCAATTGTTTCACACTGTTCAAGATTCCCTTACACTTCAACACTGTATTGTAACCCAAAGATATAGGCCCCAGAAGTATTTTTTTTATCCATCGAATAGCACAACTGTTCTTTTTTAATGTAAGTTATTAAACATTGATGCTTTAGAATTTTATTAAATAGGTTGTTTGGCTTTTTCAAAGCAGTTCAGTGGAGCGAACATACATTTGTTGGTGAATATAAAATCACTGGTCTCTAAACGGAAATGTTCCTATTGGTCGACATTGTTGGCAGTAGAGGTGCAGCACAGAAAAACATCCATTGCTGTCCTGTACTCTGTTCACGTGTGCTGCCTGCCATTACAAACCCGCTCTGACCAGAGTGGTGAAGTATGGTTAAAACCCCCCAGATCCTGCAATGATTGGGAGAGGCCATCATCCAGCAGTGGGATTGACGAAGGGACTGTACATGTAGGTGGTTCTTTCACACTGTAAATCCAGCATGTTTATCAGCAAATTTGGGTGCAGCTTGCGTGTTCTGCTTTAAAAAAAAAGTGGAATGAAGAATGTGGCATTTAAAGTTGACATAAATGCTTGATTGGGAGGTCATCTGTCGAAGGACATGCAGTGCTGTATTTGGAAAACCTAGAAATGGCCTTCCACCATTTACCTTCACACACGCGGCGAGGCTACTCCCCGCGACTGGGAGCATTCAAGGGAAAGGTTTTTTTAGTGCGGTCCGGTTGCATTAATAAGCCGTGCTTTTTTGTGTGTGGTATTGGAAGCCTTATTATGAATATGTGAATTGACCCACGTTGTGAGTATTTAAGTTCTGTAACTTGCATCGGGAGTTGTATACACCCTGGTTGCTGTAAACTTCTCAACGGTGCTTGCAAAGCCTTTCATTAATGTATTATATTTGTTAAAAAATAGCTAAGCTTGGGGGGGGGGGGTGAATACGAAATATGTATTTGGAGTCATAATTGTTTAATTTGTCGATGTTTAGCTTTAAACAAAAAAATTCCTGCCAGTCGTAGTGTTTCCTGCCCTCTCAAATTGGGTGTGGCCATTTCGGTTGTAGGTTGATTAAAATATAAGGGGCAGTTCATTGGCTGTGGCGTACACAAGCAAGCAATGGCCGAAATAACCAGTAAAAACTAAGTTTTTCACTATAAATCCTTTATATGCGTGGCGGCTAGAGTCCTCTTGTCCTCTGGCTTGAGATGGCTGCCACCTATGGGTCAGATGATTGCATTGCACCATTAAGCAATTGGTAATTAAATATAATATTTTTGTCCTAAAAAGTGTACAATTTTGGAAAAAAAAAATTTCACGAACATTAATTGTCACGCACAACGAGTCTGTGTGGAAAATGTCAGCTCGATTGGATCACGGGAAGTGGGTTAAAAAACGACCGAAAGATTTGCACGGTCGTAAGCAAGCAAGCAAACTTAATATAAAGGATTTAAAAAATGGCATTGCTTTCACATTAAAAGAGATGAACTTCTAAATCTCAGGCCAATTATTTTATACAGTTGCCCTATATCTGAGCAAAGAAAGGGGGTAGTAAAATTCAATTAAACACGCACTGTAAAGTTAATGCGCTCGTGAGCACAACGCAAGCTGCCAAATGTCTTTTTATTGTTGGCACGTCTCACTGGCTATCGTATAAACATAGTTTTGTTTTTAAACGTGAATAGAAATGAAAGCGGCAAATTTGTCCGATTTAATTTTTTAAGTCCCTTTTAAAAAAAAATACCCACGGCTTGTAACCGTACTCCATATTCACATTGAAAATGAGACTTGGCACAGATGGGCAAACAGGGACACTACTACATGTAAAGAGAGTAGTAGTACCCCAAACAACTCCATAGACTTAACACTTGCGACTCGTGCATTTTCACGGTGTGCTTAGTGCGGGCTGGTGCACGGAAAACTTGCATATTTTTGATCCTCCTGCAGAGATTTTAGGGCCCACACCTTTTCTACCCACGGTTGAAGTTGACAGTCACCTGGCATGGCACAGTCAGCAGTGCAAGAGACACAAAGGGAAAAAAAACTGAATTTCAACTCCCAGAGTAAGCAAACATTGGTAATCTAATTTCACATCAACAGCACGCACAATTGGCGAACATCAACTTGTGCAAAACGTCAATTTTGAGACAGTCAGGTTTTTATCATTTGTTGAAAAAAAAAGAAACTGAAATCTGGTATTTTTGGTATTCTAATCGCAGCAACAGAGGGGAGATGCGCATGAATGAATGCAGAGCCCTGAATCCACAGGTGCAGATCTGTTGCGTGACGGCTGGAGGAATACCGTCTTCCAACGCTCCCGATTTAGGCAGGAGCTGTTCCGATTTTTTTACGTTTTACCGCACCCGAAGTTTAAAAGCAAATATTTCGTCAAAACTAAAGAAAAAAAATTACCTATTAATTGATACGATTTAGCTATGGAAATCGGTGCTTTGATAGAAGGGTTTGTTTTAAAAAGTACGCTTCAGTAGGCCTCACTAAAAACTCATCATGGCTTCAGTGAAATAAAGTTAAATTTATCATAAATATTCTTGGTTCTTTCACCTGATGGTGATTGCTTGTGTTGCAGTCGAAACGTCGTGATAATTTTATTGTTTTATATTTTTATTATTTTATTATTTACCTTCTACGTGACTTTAACGAAAGAACCAAGAATATGAATCCCTGCAGTCACGAAAGCTTTAACTCAAAATTATCATAAATACTTAGTTCATGAAACCCTGCGAGTGAAACTGCCCATTCGGAAAGCTGACGAACAGTTTGAATATCATTTATTGTTATGGTTTGTTTCCCTTGACTACGCACGGTCTCTTTTGTCAGTACAGTATTTTAGGGTGACTTTGCACAGTTCCTGCATGGTTGCCTCAGGTGTTGTAATATGTAAAGGAATAACTGTTTAATTCAGAACGTACCTAGACTGTTGAGAAAAGTGTTGCTTGGCGTGGACGCGTGAAGTCTCAAAGGGATGATTGTCGAAAATAACAATGGCATCGCAGCCGATGTGAGGGAATGTATCTGAGAGGGCCCCATCCACCGAGGAGATGGAGTGCTGAAATCGGAATCGGAACCTTGTATTTATCGTGGAGAAATCCGATGAGCTATGATGCTCCTTTTGTACCACAGTCGTCCAGGCG